TATGCTGCTGTTTTTATCCTTTTGTGAGCCGGCCCTGAGCACAGATCTCTGGAGAAGCAGCAAGGACATTTCCTAAATAAATTTTAAAAAAACAAATGCAAGTGAACCGCTAAAAGCGGAGAAGGGATTGTCCGATTGTCCCAACATCTCAGTTGGAGTCGGCCAACACCCTTCCTTGGCTTTGGAGGGGGCGCTCCCCCCCTCCCCCCCCAGTAATGCCTCCCTCTCCACTTAGCTTCTAGAGGTGCGGCCGGGAACCTGAAGCAGCGCTTTGAGAACATGGCCAAGTCTGCCGACGAAGAGAACCAGAAGCGGGTAGAGGAGGAGCGCATGCGCCGCCAGGCCCGGGAGCAGCGGGAGAAGCAGGTGGCCCAGGAGCAGCAGAAGGTGAGCGGATCCTCAACAGAGGAAGTCCCGTCCCCCCCCCAATTCCCCCCCAACACACAAGCCTGTGGATCCGCTCCACCTGCCTTGATTTCAGAAAAGGCACATGCTGCTCAAAGGGGCAGAGGCAATATGAGATCAGAATCAAAATGGGGCAGAGGATGCTCTGTATTCTGGGTGCTTGGGGGGGGAACAGTGGGAGGGCTTCTGGTGTCCTGGCCCCACTGCTGGACCTCCTCATGGCACCTGGTATTTCTGGCCCCTGTGTGACGCAGAGTGTTGGGACTAGATGGGCCACTGGCCTGACCCAACATTGGCTTCTCTGATGTTCTTATGTCTGGGGCAAGGGATGCTCTGTACTCTTGGTGCTTGGGGGGGGGGCAACAGTGGGAGGGCTTCTAGTGCCCTGGCCCCACTGCTGGACCTCCTGATGCCCCTGGTATTTCTGGCCACTGCATAATGCAAAGTGTTGGGACTAGATGGGCCATTGGCCTGATCCAACATTGGCTTCTCTTATGTTCTTATATGGAGCAGAGGTCCCTCAGTGGCCCCTGTTAGCCACGAGGTATAGATAGGAACTGTGTGACACACAGTGTTGGACTCAATGGGCCACTGGCCTGATCCAACATCGGCTTCTCTTATGTTCCTATGTCTGAGGCAAGGGATGCTCTGTCTTATTAATGGCATAATAATACAACGACAACACACACACACACACACACAAACTAGACACCAATAAATACATATATACACATGCTAAAAGTCTCCACCAAACAGAACCCATTTGGGATTCATAAAAAGGAGGGGGAAGAAAGGTAAATCTAAATATTACAGCTTCTAACCCTTAACGTCCGTACAAATAGTAGGTACTCAGCAACAGCTGCAGCAATTTCAGGAGACCTGTCAGGTAAGAAAAAACCAAGGTCATTATTGGTCATAGATTTTGCAGAAGAAAGGAGGGGGTGGATCAAAGAATGACGTAGCAAAGAGTAACGAGAGCAGTGAAAAAGAACGTGTCGCACAGAGTCAGGTTCGTTGTAAAGACAGTTACAGACTCTTTCTTTATAAGGAATACCCTTATATCTGCCTGTCAAAACGGCCGAAAGGAAGAAATTGAACCTGGCAAGCACGAAAGCTCTACGGTGCGAGGGGTGTACCAAATTAGAAAAGTGCTGGGCCATAGAATCTTGTGCGGGGAAAAGAGCAAGAAGACGTGGAGAACAGACTCCAGAGCTACCAGCGTTAGTAACTTGAGCTACAATGCCGAGTCTCTTTCTTCTTTAAGGTAACCCAGAAGAGCCAAGAGCCGGACTACAAACCCCCCGGACAGGAGCCCTCCCTAGTGCCTACCAAGGTGTGCCAAGAGGCCAGCTTGCCACCTGTGCCAGCAGCGCACCAGGTAGGAAGAAAGGTACCTGACTGTCCAAGCAGCCTGTGCTTAAGAAAGCAGCCTTTTTAGGGGTGTGAGTGGAACAGCACCATCCCCGCAGGTGCATCCCACGATCCCTTGCAAAGCTTTGGAAGATGCTGGACCAGAACTCTGGGAATACCCTTCCCAGACCACAGTCCTGCATCCGGCAAAACAGCCCCCCGGCTATAAAAAGTTCAAGCCACAATCAGTGTTCCCTCTAAGCTGAGTTAGTGTGAGCTTTCTTGTTGTTGTTCAGTCACACAGTCGAGTCCGACTCTTCATGACCCCATGGACCAGATCACGCCAGGCCTTCCTGTCCTCCGCCGTCCTCTGAAGTTTGCTCAACTTCATGTTCGTTGCATCTATGACACTGTCTAACCATCTCATCCTTTGCCGTCCCCGTCTTCTTTGACCTTCAATCTTTCCCAGCATCAGGGTCTTCTCCAGTGAGTGCTCCCTTCTCATTTGGTGGCCAAAGTATTTGAGCTTCAGTTTCATTATCTGGCCTTCCAGGGAACAGTCAGGGTTGATTTCTTTTAGGATTGACTGATTTGATCTCCTGGCAGTCCAAGGGACTCTCAAGAGTCTTCTCCGGCACCATAGTTCAAAAGAATCTATTCTTCGGCGCTTGGCCTTCCTTACAGTCCAACTCTCGCAGCCATACATGACTACTGGGAATACCATTGCTTTGACCAGTGTTCCCTCTAAGCTGAGTGTGAGCTAGCTTACAGTTTTTTAGCCTCCAGCTCACACATTTCTGTCTCAGCTCAGGAAGGAGGGCTCCAGAGCAAGCTAATTGATGCAGCAGCCAAACCGCTCGCTCGCAGCTTTCATGCCAGCAACTCACAAAGTAGGATTTTGGCTCACAAGACTCCACCGCTTAGAGGGAGCCTTGGCCACGACACGTTTGCTAGTCCTCTGAGCACTAGAGGAGCCTTTGCCACTTTCAGGGGGGGGATGAGGGACAATTCAACACAATCATCTTAGTTTCAGGGGACAGCTGGGCTGAGATACAGCAGAACAGCTGGTTTCGAGTCCCGACCTTGTACCCCCCAAATCTTGCTGGTCTTGCATCTAGCCACTCTCATCTCAGAAATTCTTCATATTTCATTTTTTTGGTATGCTTTTGGTCATGGCGACCACCGGTGACTGACCCCTGCTGGGGGCCCGGAGGATACTCAGAGGGGTGGCTGAATGAAGCCTGGCCCTGCCTCCCGCCTCTGGGGTCACCCATCCAAGTCCCTGCCGCAGAGTCGACCCCGCTTAGCTTCTGAGAATTGACCAGATTGGGCTTCCCGGGGCTCTCTCGGCCTCACCTGCCTCACAGGGTGTCTACTGTGGGGAGGGGAAGGGAAAGGAGATTGTGAGCTGCTCTGAGACGCCTTCGGGTAGTGAAGGGCCATGGGGTATTAGACCACTCTCCTCCTCCTCCTTCCTCTCCCTTCTCTTCCTCCTCTTTCTCCTTCTCCTTCCTCTCCCTTCTCCTCCTCCTCTTTCTCTTTCTCCTTCCTCTCCCTTCTTCTCCTCCTCCTCTTTCTCCTTCTTCTCCCTTCTCCTTCTTCTCCTCCTCCTTCTCCTCCTCCTCCTTCCTCTCCCTTCTTCTTCTTCTCCTCCTCCTCCTCCTCCTCCTCCTTCCTCTCACCCCTTCTCCTACTCCTTCTCCTCCCTCTCCTTCTCCACCTCCTCCTCCACCTCCTCTCTCCCCCCTTCTTCTCCTCCTCCTCCTCCTCCTCCCTCTCCCCTTCTCCTCCTCCTCCTCTTTCTCCTCCTCCTTCCTCTCCCTCCTCCTCCTCCTCCTCTTTCTCCTTCTTCTCCCTTCCTCTCCTCCTCCTCCTCCTCCCCCCTCTTCCTTCTTCTTCTCCTCCTCCTCCTTCCTCCTCCCCCTTCTCCTGCTCCTTCTCCACCTCCTCCTCCCTCTCCCCCTTTTTCTCCTTCTCCTTCTCCTCCTTCCTCTCCCTTCTCCTCTTCCTCCTCCTCCTCTCCCCCCTTCTCCTGCTCCTTCTCCTCCTCCTTCCTCCCTCTCCCTTCTTCTCCTCCCCCTTCTCCTCCTCCTCCTCAAATGAAACGATTCAGCTTGACGCAACTGCCTTCTTGGCTGCTGCTAGAGAGAAGGCCTTTGGCTATACTCTTCTCTACCCGATGTCCAGGGAGCAGCAGAGGAGGAAGAGGAGAAGCCCCCTGCCCTCCCCCCACGCCATCTGGACTTGGAGGAAGGTGCCCAAGACTTGCCCAAGGCCCCTCCTACGCAGACCCTCCTCGACGCCGAGACTGCGGATGGCGGCAACGACTACGAGGACATCGCCGTGGCCCCCAGCCGCTGGGAGGAACCTCCGGACCTCAAGGAGGAGGAGGAGGAGGGCGGCGAGGGGGACTACGAAGAGATGCCGGGGCCCCTGGGGGAGGCGGAGCCCGTCTACGACGACTCTGCCGACGCGGGCCAGGACTATGAGGAGATCCCAGACTGGAAGACCGGCAGCCGTGGGGCAGTGCCCCCAGGAGGTGAGAGGAGGAGGAGAAACCGGCGTTGAGGGGACGGTGGGGTTGTCCGCTCCAGGCTGGGACATGCCTGCCAGTTTTGGGGGGCTGGACCCCTGGGGAACTGGGGCGGGGAGGGACCTCAGCAGGGTATGACAATATGGAGTCCACCTTCCGAAGCAGCCATTTTCTCCACCTTGAGAGAACAGCCCTGACAGAAGAACTATGGCTTGCCCAAGGTCATCCAGCCAGGTGGAAGTGGAGGAGTGGGGAATCCTGGTTTTTTTTTACCATCAAGTCACAGCCGAAATACAGCAACCCCATATAGTTTTGAAGGCAAGAGGTGCTCGGAGGCGGTTTGCCATCGCCTGGCTCCGTGCCAGCCCTGCTTAACTTCTGAGGTCTGACTTTTAAGCAGCAAATCAGATAAGTGACAACCCCGGAGACCATAAAGTAGCCACATGACTGCCCGCTAGTGTGACGTTCCCCTGGGAGGGCCAGTAAACACGAACAGACATGGAGCTGCCTTCTACTGAATCAGACGCTTGGCCCATCCAAGTCAGTATTGTCAACTCAGATCGTAGGGTGGCCAGCTCCAGGGTAGGAAATACCTCGAGATTTTGTGGGTGGAAACCCAAGAGGGCAGGGTTTGGGGAGGGGAGGGACTTTAATGGGATATAATGCCAGTTTGGTGTCATGGCTAAGAAGAAGAAGAAGAAGAGAAGAAGAGTTTGGTGTCATGGCTAAGAAGAAGAAGAAGAAGAGAAGTGCGCGGACTCTCATCTGAGAGAACCGGGTGTGATTCCCCGCTCCTCCTCCACTTGCACCTGGCTGGATGACCTTGGGCAAGCCATAGTTCTGGCAAGAGCTGTCCTTGAAAAAGAGCCGTTTCTGTCAGAGCTCTCTCAGCCCCCACCTGCCTCCCAGGGTGTCTGTTGTGGGGAGGGGAAGGGGAAGGAGTTTGTAAGCCACTCTGAGACTCCTTTGGGTAGTGAAGGGCGGGGTATAAATCCAATCTCCTCTCTTCTGTCTTCTAAGATGAGTTAGAGTGAGCTAGCTCACATTTTTTTAGCCTCCAGCTCACACATTTTTGCCTTAGTTCAGGAAGGATGGCTCCAGAGCAGTGTTCCCTCTAAATTGAGTTAGTGTGAGCCAGTTTGGTGTCGTGGTTAAGTGTGCGGAGTCTAATCTGGGAGAACCGGGTTTGATTCCCCACTCCTCCACTTGCACACATTTTTGCCTTAGCTCAGGAAGGATGGCTCCAGAGCAGTGTTCCCTCTAAGCTGAGTTAGGAGAGCCAGTTTGGTGTCGTGGTTAAGTGCGCAGACTCTAATCTGGGAGAACTGGGTTTGATTCCCCACTCCTCCACATGCACCTGGCTGGATGATCTTGGGCAAGCCGTAGCTCTGATAAGAGCTGTTTTTGAAAAAGAACCGTTTCTCTGTGGAGAGCTCTCTCAGCCCCACCTACCGCACAAGCAATAGGGCCATTTCTCACAGTAACTTCCATCAAATCCACTTACTGTGAGAAAGTTACTATGAGAAATGGCCCTATTGCTTGTCAAATGGATTAACGATCTAGAAATGTCAACGCTACACACTCTGACAAAGTTTGTGAACGAAACGAGACTTGATATGCCTAGTCCGTTGAATGATTTTTGAGAGATTGGCCTGCTCCAAGTAAACGGGATATTGAATAAGAACTAAATTGTCTTTGGATATTTTTCTTTGGCATAATACTTCACGGTGGTTCTGCTTATTTCCACCACCCATTTTGAGAGCCAGTTTGGTGTCGTGGTTAAGTGCGCGGACTCTAATCTTGGAGAACCGGGTTGGATTCCCCACTCCTCCACTTGCACCTGCTGGATGACCGTGGGCAAGCCGTAACTCTGGTAAGAGCTGTCCTTGAAAAAGAGCAGTTTCTGTCAGAGCTCTCTCAGCCCCACCTACCTCTCACAGGAGGGTGCCTGTTGTGGGGAAGGGAAGGGAATGGAGTTTGTAAGCCCCTCTGAGACTCCGAGTGAAGGGCGGGGTATAAATCCAATCTCTTCCTCTTCTTCTTCTTTTTGGTTTGCACCACCTGGAGGTTGGCAACTCTATCAGGCAGGCAGCGGTTCTCCGAGGTCTCGGGCAGGCAAAAGTCCTTCCCTTCACCTCCTGTCAGATTCTTTAAGTGGAGATGCTGGGGAATTGAACCCGGGACCTTCCGCATGCCAAGCAGAGGTGCTTCCACTGGGCTACGGCCTCTCCCTTAAACAGACCAGAAGAGAGTCAGCAGATGGGCTGTCGAACATTCATAGTCTATATTGCACTGATGCTCCAGTAGGTCAGGAGGAGGAGGAGTAGAACCTGGAGCCCACCTGGCAGAAGGCGAGACGGAAGGTGAGACTTACCAGAGCCACTGCGAAACCTGCCGGGAACCAGATATGTGGGCTCTCCTTGCAGGGTCACCCACCTCCCAGTCTTGGCCATGGGTCGTTCCATAGGAAAAGAGGTGCAGGAGCTCATTAGCGTAACTCATTTGCATGTGCCACACCCCCTGACATCACCAGAAGTGTGTCAGAAGGCAACACCCACTGCTCAGGCTCCACTGGACTCTTCTGGATCGCTAGCTATTGGGGGGCGGGGGAACGAACAGATCCATGCAAAAAGAAAGAGAGAGAGAGAGAGAAGGAAAGAAGGAGGGAAGGAGGGAAAGAAAGAGGGAGAAACAAAAATAAAGAGGGAAAGAAGGAGAGGAAAGAAAGAGGGAAAGAAAGAAGGAAAAAAGGAGGAAAAGAAAGAAAGATGAGAGGAAGAGAAGGCAGGAAGGAGAGAAAGAGGGAAAGAAAGAGGGAGAGACAAAAATAAAGAGGGAAAGAAGGAGAGAAAAGAAAGAGGGAAAGAAAGAAGGAAAAAAGGGGGAAAAGAAAGAAAGATAAAGAAGGAAAGATAAAGAAAGAGAAGGAAAGAAGGAAAGAAGGAGGGGAAGGAGCAGGGGTTGGGGCTTGCTGCATGTTCTCGCCCCCTGGGGTCTTTACTGCCGGAGCTCTGCTCCTGTGCGCTCCTGTAGGAAATGACCCCTGGGACTCTTGGCTTCTTTTCCTGCAGGGAGTGAAGGACCGGTGTACGAGGTGGGCGATCCAGGCTTGTCTGCTGTGGCCCTCTATGATTACCAGGGAGGTGAGTCAGTCCTTTGGCCCCCGCTGGGTGGTGCCGCAGGAGTGGGGAGGGAACTTGGAGACAGGTTTGGGGACGAGGTTAAGGACGGGCGGGTCAGCGGAGGTGGGAGAGAGGCAGCGAGTGGAGGAGGCAGGATCCAAATCCCCGGGTGTGCATCAAATGGCCGTGAACCGAAAGGCTTCTTTCCCAAAGCAAGGGCTCCGGAAAGGGGGAGCTCCAGTTTCCAAGGATACCCCCTCCGGCTGTGGTGCCCTGGGCCTCAAGTGAGTGTTGCCAACTCTGGTTTGGGAAATTCCTGGAGATTTGGGGACAGGGCCTAGGGAGGGCAGAGACTGAGAGGGGGAAGGAGCTCGGCAGAGATCTGATGCCACAGAGTCCACCCTCCGAGGCAGCCATTTTCTCCAGGTCCCCACAAAGAAACGATAAAAGAGGGGGGGACTCAACCCAAGACATGGCTGTGATACATGAGGGTCAAGCTAACAAAATAAGTTATTATAAAAATAGAAATATTTATTATGGTGTAAAAGGTAACGGTCAAGGTCTCCCTTGCTCGAAAGCCAGTCAAATCCAACTCTAGGCGGAGGCGCTCATCTCTGTTTCCAAGCCGAAGAGCCAGCGCTGTCCGAAGACTTCTCCGTGGTCACGTTGCCGGCGTGACTAGATGCCGAGGCACACGGAACGCTGTGACCTTCCCACCGAAGTGGTCCCTATTTATCGACTTGCAATTTCTCACTTTCGAACTGCCAGGTTGGCAGGAGCCGGGGCCAGACGACGGGAGCTCACTCCGTCACGCGGCACTCGGGTCTCGAACTGCCAACTTACAGACCTTCCGGTCTGCAACTCAGTGTCTTAACCTCTGAGCCATATTTATTATGGTGTACACATTAGTAACAGCGTTCTGTGTGCCTTGGTGTTTAGTCATGCCGGCCACATGACCATGGAAACGTCTTCGGACAGCGCTGGCTCTTCGGCTTTGAAACGGAGATGAGCACCGCAACCCTAGAGTCGGATTCGACTGGCTTTCGAGCAAGGGAACCTTTACACATTAGTAAAAGAAAGTAGGCTAAAAGAAAGGAGCCAGTTTGGTGTAGTTGTTCAGTGCGCGGACTCTGATCTGGGAGAACTGGGTTTGATTCCCCACTCCTCCACTTGCAGCTGCTGGATGACCTTGGGCAAGCCGTAGTTCTGACAAAAGCTGTCCTTGAAAAAGAGCAGTTTCTGTCAAGATCTCTCTCAGCCCCACCCGCCTCACAGGGTGTCTGTTGTGGGGAGGGGAAGGGAAAGGAGTTTGTAAGCCGCTCTGAGACTCATTTGGGTAGTGAAGGGCCATGGGGTATGAATCCAATCTCTTCTTCTTCTTTCCCCACCCCATTTTGGCAGATGGGGACGATGAGATCTCCTTCGACCCCGGCGACACCATCACGCACATCGAGCAGGTGGACGAGGGCTGGTGGCGTGGGCGCTGCCACGGGGCTGTGGGCCTCTTCCCGGCCAATTACGTGGACCTCCTGAAGTGAGACCCTCCACACGCCTCTCCCTCCCAGCTACCCCGATGACACGTCCCTGATCCTGCTTGGGGGGGGGGCAGGAGCATAGGAGAACGGGGTGTTGCTTCCCTAACCCTCATTTCACAATCGAGCTCCAGGCATGGAGATCAAACGCTTTTCCTCCCCAGGGGCAGCAGGGTGGAAATGGGCCCACGGAGAGCTCCGAGCTGCAGCTCCCGGCCTGGGGTGGTTTCCTGAGCTTTCGCAGTCTGTATCCTGATCCGTCCCGCTCTTGGTACTGGGTATCCCCAGAAACTCCCTTTTTGGGCACCACAGATACAGAACAACACACAGCAGGCAATGAAAAGTGGGGGTGGGAGGCGTCAAGCTCTGGGGAGCAGGTCTATGGCTGCCGGCTCTGTGACACGGCGGAAACCTCACCGGCCCTTCTTGTCTTTGCCTAGTGTGGGCTCAAAGGGGGCAGGGCCGGCTCACTCACTAGGCGAACTAGGCGATTTTCTAGAGCGGGCCGGCCCTTAGGGGTGCCAAACTGCACCCAGCCCCGTACTCTGAGTGTTTCTTGATTATTTGTGTTTTTTAATCTTCCAAAAATGCATTTATTTTTGAAAAATGGTGGGCGCAGGGGGGGGCAGCGCCAGAAGGGATCCTCGCCTAGGGTACAAAATAAGCTGAGGCCAGCCCTGCAAAGGGGGCAGGCGAACCCTAACAGAAGGGTTGCTCTTACGTACCATGGAGCGTCCCCAGGTGGCGCTGCAGCTCTCAGCCACGATTCTCTAAGCTGTGGAGTCTTGCGAGCAAAAATCCTAGATCGTGAGCCGCTGGCATTAAAGTTGTGAGCAAGCTGTTTGGCTCCTGCAGGAATCAGTTTGCACTGGCGCCATCCCTTCCCGAGCGGAGACAGAAATGTGTGCGCTGGAGGTTAAGAAACGGTGAGCTGGCTCACACTAACTCAGCTTAGAGGGAATGCTGCTGTCAGCCAGGATGCTCCCTGGGGGCCAGTCACTCTTGCTTAGCCTAACCTCCCCCCCCCCACCGGGTTGTCGTGGGGATAACAAAATACAAATGCAAGGCCAAGCGGGGAGATAGATGATCTGCTGCCTTCCAGAACATGCCTTGTGCGATAGATTAGTGCTTGCAGCTTTCGGACACTTGGGATTTTGCACTCTTGAAAAGAGTCCCTTCACCAAAGGCTCTCTTATTTCTCTGTGTGTGTGTTGTTACTTAAACCATTAAAACTGGAGATTTCAGCTTTACTTGAGTTGGCGTCTGTGTTTCCTGCCTGGCCCTCGATCATACAACTTCACAAGAACCAAAGCTGTTGGCGATACCAACTCATTCATGGCCCATACCTACTCTAAGGCACCTCTGCTGTTAGCAAATAAACCTCCACGCTTGAGAGGAGGCAGATGGAACGTGATAGCAGGGTCTCAGGTAATTACTCTCAGCATTCTACAATTAAGAAGGGTACATCTGCCCATACTCTCCAATTTTGATATTTCCCCCCCCCCCAGGGGTCATTTAGTAGAAAAATAGGTGCAGGAGATCATTAGCATAACTCATTCGCATAACTCATTTGCATATGCCACACCCCCTGACATCACCAGAAGTGTGTCAGAAGGCAACACCCACCGCTCAGGCTCCACTGGACTGTTTAGGATTGCTAGCTATTGGTGGGGGGAATGTGCAGATCTGCCCTTGCAGAGGAGGGAGAGCTGGTACCTGAATAAAACTTGGTCTTAAAGGTGCCACTGGACTGTTTTGGACCGGGGGGCCGGGAGGGGGGGCTCTGCAACTTACCTGGCCCCAGTACTGGACCTCTGGATGGCACCTGGTGTTTTTGGCCCCTGTGCACCAAAACAGAGCGTTGGACAGGATGGGCCACTGGCCTGATCCAACATTGGCTTCTCTTATGTTCTTATGTCTGAGGCAAGGGATGCTTTGTATTCTTTGTGCTTGGGGGGGGCAACAGTGGGAGGGCTTCTAGTGTCCTGGCCCCACTGATGGACCTCCTGATGGCTCCTGGTATTTTTGGCCACTGTGTGACACAGAGTGTTGGACTAGACGGGCCATTGGCCTGATCAAACATTGGCTTCTCTTAATGTTCTTATT